CTTGTGCTTATCACTTTGACTGTCGAAGTAGAAGAAAAAGGAAAGAAATGGAAGGTAAAATAATTTTTAGGGTGGTTGGGTTTTTGTTTTTGTATGTTCTACACAGAAAATTACCTAAATGATTTTGACATAGGGCAGGGGTAGGCAACCTTGGCTCTTTTATGACTCGTGGACTTCAACTCCCAGAATTCCTGAGCCAGCCATGCTGAGGGGAAAGGGAGAGTTTCCAAGCTGAGCCATTGTGGCTCAGGAATTCTGAGAGTTGAAGTCCATGCGTCATAAAAGAGCCAAGGTTGCCTACCCCTGACATAGGGCATTGGTTTTCATGCCATTTTATGGCATTATTTTGTATTTGATACAACATGGAGCATAGTTGCACAAAAGTGCAACTTTTGCTTTAAAGAATTCATTTGCCAGGGAAATTTGAGAGGGGAAAACACATTGTTATGCTATATCCAGGAAGACTGATAAATTTATAGTACTAAGCTAAATATGGGTTGTTTTACAACAGAGACGGGCAGTCTCTAAATACCATAGATAAATAAAAAATATGAGTAGAATTAGATATTAATCTATAGACTAGTTCCTTTCATTTTCAGAAACCAGTTTGACATTCCTTTAGTACTGAGGCAAACCTGCACAACATAAAAGCTCACAGGCTACCAGTGTTTTGGAAAAATAATCATTTCACTGCCACCAAACAATGCCATCCCTAGGAACGATCTGCCATTGTCACCTTGATTTTTACTGTCACTTCCACCCCAAAAGACACACTGAAGAGCACCTCCAAGCCTCATTAACACTGCCAACTCCGTTGCTGCCACTGCTCTGCTAGCCCACAAACAACTGATTGGCACACCAGCTATTCCTTGTGACCTGCAATTATTTTTAAAGTATTAATCTGGCCCTTTCTCTACAAACGGTGGTGTCCTAGACCAGGGGTAGGCAACCTTGGCTCTTTTATGACTTGTGGACTTCAACTCCCAGAATTCCCGAGCTGGCTCAGGAATTCTGGGAGTTGAAGTCCAAGAGTCATAAAAGAGCCAAGGTTGCCTACCCCTGTCCTAGACAAAGGTATGATGTTGGTTTGGTACTTGAATAAGACATTTACAAAAGTAGTATTACGATTGTGACATTTTTCCTTCTTAATGATAAGGTTTGGGACATGTTTGAATTTTGGAGATGATGTCTGTGGAATTAATTTCTCCTGTGCCTCTTTTCTTTTCTCCACTTCTTACAGCTTATGAAAGGTTACTTTTTAACTGCCATCTGAATATACTGTTTTTGAAATACGCTGAAGCGGTTAATGTATCTCAAAATAAGTTGCCAGATTTAATTTTATTCATAACTGATCAGTACTAAAAGATCTGCTGTCAACATAATTTCCTTAGATTTCTAAAAGCTTTATCCCCATCTATTGATTTATTATTATTATTTTCTCTTTGGCTTTATGCAAGGTTGGAAAAGTCAATTTTTCTTCTTATAATGCTGCTTGTTTGAATTTGCCTTGTTAAGTGAGATTAATAGAGTTTGACAGCATCCTGAGTCGGGCAATCATGTCCATTGATATTAAACAGTTGGCCACTTATAATGCTGTCCTTTGGCATGCATAGATTAGTCCTCTCAGTTGAAATAAGTTAGAAATTCTGATGAGTCCAGAAATAAAATAGTATATGAACTTGAGTATGGATGGCAGAGCATGTATTTTACATACAAAATGGTAATAAGAGTTATTTGAATCTACAGGTTGTTTATTCTACACATTGTAAAATAAAATTGGACATGATTTGCTGGGAAGTCCATTTTTTTTGAAATGGGGTTTAAAATCAAACTTGACATTTCTGCAATATTTTGATTGATTTGCATAATGCAAATTTTGCATTCTGCCTTCATAAATGAAATTATGACACATTTACACATTATGTTTATCTATGACCACATGTATACATATATAGTTTCTTTGCAATTTGGAATATTGTTTTCATTCAAAACAGTCACAAACTTTTACGTTCATTTGAAATTCAATTAGAGCTTTTACAAGATTGTAGTTTAACAATAATTTCACTAAAGATTTCCAAATATCAAAATAATTAGTGGCAATTGCACAAATGAGAAGATTGAGTAATTTATGTTCTTATTTGCTGTGTCTAAAACATGAGCCCAGGCTATTTAGAGGCAGAAGTTGCAGTTGTTAGAAAAAATTACTTTTACAATTCGTTGCATTGCAGTTGCTAATTCTTATTATTGCCTTTGGTTTTACAGGTAGTCCTTGACTTACAGCAGTTTGTTTAGTGACCGTTCAAAGTTACAACAGCGTTGAAAAAAGTGACTTATGACCACTTTTCACACTTACAACCGTTGCAGCATCCCCATGGTCCTGTGATTTACATTCAGATGCTTGACAACTGGCTCATATTTATGACAGTTGCAGTGTCCCAGGGTCACTTGACCCCCTTTTGCGACCTTCTGACAAGCAAAGTCAATGGGGAAGCCAGATTCATTTAAGAACCGTGTTACTAAGTTGACAACTGCAGTGGTTCATTTAACAAATATGACAAGAAAAGTCCTAAAATGGGGCAAAACTCACTTATTTTTCACTTTGCAACATAAATTTTGGGCTCAATTGTAAGTTGAGGACTACCTGTATTCTTTTTTTTTTTAAGGAAATTAATTCTGCAATTATTCACAATTCTACATTTGTTTATCTTGTTCTTTGGAAATAGCCTAAAAAGCTACTTCTGTCATACATTAACTTTTTTTTGGGGGGGGGGCAGGATCATGCTGTTCACCATCATTTTTTCTTTGTCTTTCTGTTCCCCTCTTAATCTGTCATATGCCACAATACACCCCCAAAAGAGGTACAATTCACCAGTTCCACTCTAAGGCAGATGTGCTGCTGTGTTCCCTCTGCCTAGTCTTGTATGTAGACTTTGAAACTAGTTAGAATTCTAGAAGTAGTGCAAGGCTGAGTGCACTTCAGTCTGTGTAGCATACAATCTACATGGCATACCAAAACTGTGGTAACCCAGAATAAAGGAAAAAAATGAAATACTGAGACAGATAACAGCAAGAAGATTGGTTGGGCTGAGGGCCTTGTTAGTGTATCAGGAAACAAACTGAAAAGTTAACACATATGTAAATTGATTCCTCACGAGCCCGAGGTGATTCCATGTTCCTCTAGGACAGTGGTGGGGAACCTATGGCACGCGTGCTAGAGGCAACACTCGGAGCCCTCTCTGTGGGCACGCGCGCTGTCGCCCCAGCCCTGCCTCCCCCTGCGGCCCCTCCTCACCAGCAGCCCCCCCGGAGGAGAGTCGCCCCCAGGCACGGCCCACACAGAGCAGCGCAGCCAAGGACATGGCAGCCAGGACAAGACTCTGCCCTCGCGTCCCGTCGCATGCAGATGATGTTCCGAGGTGTGGACGGAGGGCATGGCTGCCATGGCGCTGCAGGGCCGCCTGGGCGATCTGCAGTGGGCCATGGAGGCGGTGGGTGGTCCTGCGGGCGGGCAGGGCAGGGAGCGGACAGGGGCGGAGCAAGGGCAGGGGGTGGAGCAGGGGCGGGGGGGCGGGTTTTGGGCACTTGGTCTCTAAAAGGTTCGCCATCACTGCTCTAAGAGATTGTGCATACAGCAGTGTTTAAAGGATAAACCATTTTTAAAATTCATGGTTAAAAATGCTCTTGAAATAATTACTGTTCTGTCAATTTGAACACATCTGTGAAAAACAGAGGTTTAATGAAGACTGTGATAGATGAAGTGCAGATAGTCCTTGACTTACCACCACAACTGGGACTGGAACTTTGGTCACTAAGTGATGTGGTCATTTAGTGAGTCATTATGTCACCAGACCTGAATTTACTACTATTTTACTGCTGTTGTTAAGTGAATCACGCAGCCATTGAGTGAATCCAGTTTCCCCAATTGACTTTGTTTGTCGGAAAACAACTGGGAAGGTTGCAAATCACAATCAAGTGACTGCAAGATGCTGCAACTGTGTCTTGTACTCACGTGACCACAGGGTTGGTGCAATAGTCATAAGCCACTTTTTCTCAGGCTGTCGTAACTTTGAACCATCATTAAATGAACGATCATTAGTCGAGGACAATCTATAAGTCCCTACATGTTTACAAAAATATAAAAGAGAAGACCTATTTATATGTCTTCAAGACCTGAAATGTTACTTTGACAATGATCATGAAGCCACAAGGCTTCAAAGCGCACTTAGTATGGCCATTGCTGAGAATTCTGGATATTGAAGTCCATGCATTTGGAGGGGACCCAGGTTGGGAAGCTGTCTTCTCAGGTTTATTGCCATTTAATTTGTCATGAAATCCATATTCTGATATGCTAAAGTTCACTACAGAAATTCTAGACTCTCCCGGTAGTTTACTAAATGTAAGTTGACTGTCCTCTGAATCTGCACTTTTAAGTGACCTTCACTTAACAGTATTTTTACATTTTAAGTAGCAGCAGCAGGATATACTAATGTTCATTTACTCTTTCCCTCCTAGCTGCGTTTATTTCCTTTCTGCTTTTGCCAAATTATTTAGGAGAAGAGTGTAAATTGAAGCCATTTATCTTGAAATGTGCCATTGCAGCAGACTGTTTATACAAGTGTAAGAAATTGTAACACAGAAATATTTGGTCTGGTCTGAATGGAAAAAGGATTTTTTTTTATTTTTTTTTAACAAACTTTGTAAGTGTGGAATTTTTGATAGGATACCGAAAATGCATGTGTTTAGCACAAATGGACTTGTGACTTGGACTTTGCAGTACGGGAACTTTTTTTTTTTTTAAGTAAGGAAAATGTATGTGGCTTTTTTTTGCACTGCACACAAAATTAGCTCTCTTTAAAGTTGCTTCAGCTCTTAATAGACAATAAAACTATTCCATGCATATGGGAAAATTTATTGGTGAGCCTGTGAGCTTTTAGAATGTGTATAAAGAGTCCATTCTTGCTGGCTAATCCCAAGTTGTAAATATTTGTCTGTCAGTTGGTGGGCGAGTGAGTCGGGAGTTAAGTTACACACGGCAAAAGATTGGAGAAGAGGCCATGTTTAATCCTCAACTGATGATTCAGACACCACAAGAAGAGACTGCTAATGTACTAACAACAGAAGCGCTCAGACAGCACCTTGATTCTGCACTACAAGCCAGCAAGATACATGTATATATGTACAACAGGTAAGATGGAAAGAACAAAGCTCTTTCCTTCCTTCAAATCTCAGAGCAGTTGTGGAAATGATTTGCTCCAACCTGGTCATTTTCTGCAGTAACGTGTGAATCAGAACTCACTCAGAAGAAATTCAGAGGCTCCCTAGAATTTTATTTTATTGTAAGAACAGCGTTTCCTGGAACATTTGCTTTTCAACATTTGCAAAGTTACTAGTTTTCCTGGAGAGCTAGTCCTCAACTTATGACCCCAATTGAGCCCCAGATTTTTGTTGCTAAGCGAGACATTTGTTAAGTGACTTTTGCCCTGCTTTACGACCTTTCTTGCCACAGTTGTTAAAGTGAATTAGTGCAGCTGTTAAGTTAGTAATACTGTTGTTAAGTGAATCTGGAAAAGGTGGCAAAAGCTGAACACGTGACCCCGGGATACTGCAACCCTCATAAATACGAGTCAGTTGCCAAGTGTCTGCATTTCGATCACGTGACCATGGAGATGCTGCAACGGTCATAAGTGTGAAAAATAGTCATGTCACTTTTTTCAATGCCGATGTAACTTTGAACAGACAGTAAATGAACTGTTGTAAGTCAAGAACTCCTTGTAATATTTGCATAGTTCGGCCTTAATTTTTCAGTTCAGGAGCCGTTAAAAAAACATCAACATGGCAACTTTCATATGGTTTCAGCTACCCTCTCGATTTTGTTGAGCCCCACTGCCTGTGACCCTGTTTCTTTTGGCAACTGGGACCTGGGGAAAATCTTGATTTAGCCACATCCCTCGATGTTCATCATAGTTTACAATGCTTGAAACCATTGTGCTTTCAGCTATTAAGTTAAAAAAATAATCTTTTCTTTTTGGCATAAAACATCCAAAGTATAACTTCGGACTGTGTTGGGTTGCTGACATATCTAGTATAAACAGGTCCCAGTTGTGGGAGTCAGTAATATTAAACAATGGTTTAAGCTAGTATTAAAGCACAAATTTCAACTTATCTTGAAGGGATCTTACAGTGAGTTTGTTTTGCAAAGTTCAAAACTGTTTTTGATCCAATGTAGATAAACGTTCAGCATAAATTTACCCTGACATACGGGAAGGGTTCAACGCAGCAGGGAGTCCTTTGCATTCACCAAGTGGTAAAGAGAATGGGCATTTTCTCTACAGCACCGTTCTGCGGCCTAATACCCTCCAGATGTGCCAAAGTTCTAATGCTCTTTAGCAGACATGAGATGTAGCTCACATCTGGAGTGTACCAGTTTGGCAAAGGCTGACCTACAATATTGCAAATTCAATTTCCATTAATCTTGCCTGGTGGTTTCTGAGAAATTTGAGTTGCATGGTTAGAATCAGGAAGGATCCTCAATACAAGAGGCTAAAAGGACCAGCAGGCCATCAAAATCTAACTATTATTACTGTCATAAGGTGATTATACCCATAAAGGTGAACTAATTTAATTCAAACAGCAGCACATCCTAAGAGTGACAAAAAACCCCTTTGAAAATAGAGGTAGTCCTCGACTTATGGCCAATTGTTAATGTAATTTGCTCTTCATTTTTGCAGACAATGGAAATTGGAACATTTATGTCACAAATCAGGGGAACCCATCACAGAAACAGGTTACATGGACAAGGTAGAGACAATGTATTTATTACATTTTTATTTATTTATAACCTGCCTTTATTATTTTTACAAAAAACTCAAAAGCAGTGAATCTTCCTCCTTATATTTTCTCCACAACAATCCTGTGAGGTGAGTTGGGCTGAGAGAGAAGAACTGGCCCCAAGTCACTCAGCTGGCTTTCATGGCTAAGACGGGATTTGAATTCATAGTCTCCTGCTTTCTAGTCTGGTGCCTTAACCACTAGACCAAACTTGCAGTCATGCATTTTTATGTATATTTCCCCGAGATGTATAACAATAGTTTGAGGGGTTTTTTTCTGTTTCTTTTACAGATTATAGAACACCTTTACCCTTGTTTAATTATCACACCACTGGACTGCTTCTGGGAGGGCGCAAAGTTACAGTCTGGGACTGCATATCTACCGTGAGTAATGTGTGTTGATTTCTATTTTATTTTACCAGTTTAATGGGGCTTCACTTAGCTAGTGTTTATTCTGATGTTGGACTGAACACAAAATGTGCTCAGACTCTCAATGATTTAATATGGATTGAGGTAGGGGCATGCGTTAGAAGTTGGAGGTTGTAAGGCAAAAAACAAACAAAAACAAAACCTAAGATGGTAGCCACAATCATATGATTGAAGTTATATTACATTTTTACATGCATCTCACAATATATGTAAAAGGACAGGCCATTGATTACACTGCTGCAACTGCCATCTTGATTTTTTGACACTTCCCCTTAACCCAGATCTGGTCCCTTGGATATCCTTGGCTCTAGGTATTTGAACTAGATTCATATTTCATTTGCAGTTAGAATTGATACTGACATAATCATCTCAGTATCAGCTTACACTGAGAGTAAAACATTTTAAACAATGTGTTTTGAAAAGTTTTGAGGACCTTCAGTGAACTCGGTCATGACAGTGTGTACTGAACATCTGAGAAATTACAATAACAGGTCCTGAGTTTTGCATGAGTTGAAGTGTATGTGACAGTGGTGTCCAACATTGGTATATGACCTGCTTATGTTTTTCACATCTATCTATACAACAGTTTCTTTTGTTTCGTGCTTTCACTAAATATTAACCCAAAAAATGGTCTTTGCCCTATTACAAGAGAACCCCCCAAATCAATTACTCTGTCTTCTGGCAACTTCCATCATATTTTAGAATGCTTCTGTTATGACAATAAGGACATGTGCTATAATTTGATCCCTCTGATTTCCCTCCTTGATGGAAAAGATCTATAAGGAGAGCAATTGAGTGAACTTGGTTACAGCTCTTTGCAGGAAAGCAATTCCTCCTTGCATAATGCAAAGATCCTGCAGAAGCCATGATTACATCAAAATGTATTATAAAGTTATCATAACATAGTGGTGGTATAAATATGCAATTTGGATATTTTTCATTATGCATGGAATGTTGCTCCCTTCTCCCATTCCCAGTGGGTACCTTTGCCAAAAGGATCTAGGACAACTCAGTACGGCCAATTCACTGCTGCCAGCTCGCCACCACAAGTTGCCTCTTGCCAACATGCCACCACCACCAGGTCGCCACAGGACAACTCCACATAGTCAACTCATTGCGGAGACAACTCACAGCTGGAGAGAGAGCTGGGTGGTTGAGTAAGTGGGTGGGTGGGCAAAGTGCAGAGTGGCAACAGCGGCCAGGGGCTTACCATTTTCACACACACCTGCTGCCACTACCACACTGAGTTCTGGGCTGAAGAGGCCAGGAATGATGGCAGTGGGTGGGGTGGGCAGCGGGGAGGTAGTGGTGGCCGGGGGACATCCCATTTTCACACACCCCACCACTACCGCATCAAGCTCCAGACCAAGGCTGGTGACGGCGGTGGTGATGGGTGTGTGTGAAAATGGGATGCCCCCGGCGCCGTCACTGCTCTGCGTTCTGCCCGCCTACTTCCTCACCACCTGACTTTCCTTCCATCTGCCCACGGCAAGTTGTCCCCATGGCAAATTGGCCGTGTGTAGTTGTCCTGCAACCCCGGCAGTGAATTGGCAGAGGTGACTTGGCAGTGGCAAGCTGGAGGCGGTGAGCTGGTTGCATTGAGTTGCCATGGCGAGTAGTCCCTTTCCATTGCCAAAATAGGTTGTCTTTTGGAGATGAGTTGCTATAAGCCGGGGATGCCCAACCTTGGCAACTTTAAGACTTGTAGACTTCAATTCTTGGAATTCATGGCTGGCTAGAAAATTCTGTGACTTGAAGTCCACAAAGTTGTCAAGGTTAGAAACCCCTGCTTTAAGCTGTGGGGGAATATGGTAATGATTGCTGTGACATTTTCAGGGGATTGGATTGAATTATTGATTCTTCTTCCAATTTTCTGGCTTCAATACTTTTATTTAAGAAGAATTGGAATATTAGTCTTATCAGAACATTTTCATTGCTTAAAACAACAGCAGAAATCCTACCGGTTAGTCACTGGTTTGTCACCAAATTTTGAGCAGAATCTCAGGACCACAGAAAGAGTCAGTAATTTGAATATTTAATATATATTTTTTGCTTTGGTTCTTTCAATGTTTGTACTATGCTGTCAACATATGCTTATGAGAGAAAAGGCAAGGGTCCCAATTAACTTCATAGTTTTTTTCATTTCCCAAAGGCAACATTCTCACTGTTATATGATGGTTATTGGTGTTTATATTTGAGGAAATAAAAGTACAATGAAAAGTATAATGATAGCAGTTGGACTAACAATACTTGTAAAATAAAAACATGAAAATTGCTTCTTTCAATTAACCCTGTAATAGAAAACTTGAGCAGAAGCTAAGTTTTCTTTATTGGGCCTTTAAGTGGCATGAAGTCTCTCTTTTGGATATTGTTACTTTCAACATGTTCTATATTTTAAAAAGTTTAAATTCATTTAGGTTAATTGCATAGCTTATTTATATGGTACAGTTTTTGCCCTGGCTTGTCTGTCCCTGTAAAGGCAACATGCAATGGCTATTGCTTAACTTTCAGTGTGGACTTTTAAAAATGGGACAATGAAGGCGCTTGCGTTTTCTGGTTGGGAGAGTCTGAATAATATCTTAAGCCTGGTTAAGCAGATACAGTGGTCTGAACCAGAAAAAAGTCAGGCAAAAGCCTTTATGGTCTGGCAACATCACAAAATCAAAAGTGGAAATGAAAAAAAAAATAGCAGCAGAGGCTCAGGAGTTTATAAAAAAAGTTCACCATGTCTGAAGGAGCACAGTGCTTATAATTTTCTTTGTGCGTGTTTTTGATTAATATATGGCAAATATTTTAAAGAAAGACATTTTTTAATATCATATGAACTTCTCTCTGATACTTGAACATTTCCTATATTTATGACTGCTGAATTCCTTATTTTTTCTGAGTCATCATTTAGTTACTAAATTATTCATCTAAAATTTATACTTAAGATACTAGTTCAGATACTAATTTTCTTGCTTATTTGATTATCTCAATTCAATAAATGAATAAACGGGCACAATGTAATAGTTGAGGTAAGAATAAAGACTTAACTACAACCTCTAAAATCCCCTCAAACCATTAGATTGAAGAGTCTCTGTTTACTAGCATTGACTTAGGCATGGATATGATGCTCATGTGAAGAAGAAATTTTGTGGGTTAAAAACCAGCTTTAAGATAAGAATTTTTAGCAAGTTTTTCCATGACAAATCTTGTGGCAATGTTTTAAATATCATTATGCACATGTCAGTGAACTTTGTTTCAAAAAAATATGAATGTGAGTCGGAGTGAGGAAGCAGTAAATAAATATTTACAAAAGTCTGGCAACTCTTGATACCTTTTCATTTTTCTCTTCATGGGACAGAGGAAAACCCCATTTGCAGTGGACCAACTTTGACCCCTTAGAATTCTTGGAAGAGCTGAAGAAGATAAACTCCCAAGTAGATACTTGGGAGGAGATGCTGAATAAGGCAGAAGTTGGCCATGGATATATGGATCGGCCTTGCCTAAACCCTGATGATCCCGACTGTCCTATAACCGCCCCCAACAAAAATTCAACCAAAGTAAGTTAATTCTTCTTTTTTTATCAGCCAAAGGAGAAAAATGTGCTGACAAAGCAGATTGTAATTCCATATCATAAAATCATTGTCAACAATATGATGCAGTTTCAGGATAGCAGTATTTGAGCCCCTTATACAGCTTTAAGTTCAGAATTCTGGTTGGTAAAATGATGATTGGTCACACCGACTTGAATTGTTCTGCTAACAGAAGAAAATAAGGCAATAATAAGGAAGTTCCAGACCAAGACACCTACTTATTTCTAATTTAACAAACAAGCTTCAAGGACTGAAGAACAAACAATAGCTTTGAAATGATATATATATAATATATTATATTCTAAATTTTGTACTGCAGAGAAAGGGATATTGGAATATTAATGCAGTTAGGTTTGCAAAGCCACTAAATACTCATGAGTGTTAAATGATAGATGTGACTGAACAAATTGCTACCAATCAGGTTCTATATACAAATGCTGTAGTATCAAAGAATGGAAACTTTTGTAGTTAACTTAACAAGTTTCCAAAATAGCATCTTTTTATTACAAAATACAAATATCTGTAATTGGCATGTTTGCATTTTATTCCAGGTCAGCTAAAGAAATTTATTCTAGTTTTTGAAATTCCCTCAAACACTGAGATTGAGGGAGTCTGAAGTATTGAGGGGTGTTGCTTTAGGATACCAAGCACTGTTTTTTAATTCATTTTCTAAAATTGTTTCTGATGTGATTCTATTGTTGCTCTAAGCCACCCAGCATTATAGTATATAATATGAATAGCTATATTTTCTTAATAAAACAAATATTTATTCTACCATTTAGATTTATATTAAAAGAAATTAAACACTCAAATGGAAGTACCGGCCTATTTTGTTCGTTGATATATTTATTTAATGGATTATGCTATACTTGTTTTTAAAAATGAATGTATTATCTTTGTGCAAACTTTATATTTAAAACAAAATAAAAAAATTCAAAATGTCCATAGTTTGGAGCTCCTTCAGTGGTAGATAGGAAGTAGACAGGATATGAGTGACTTCTCTATAAAGATTTTACTGTGTTGCTGGAATGAACTTTCCTTTTTTCCTCTCTTGATTCTCTTCTTTTATTATTGTTGTTGTTGTTGTCGCTTAATAAGTTTTCCAGGGATAACTCAAAGCAGCTGACGTTTATTTGCTGCCTAAGTTAGAAAAATAAATGGCTTCCTTTCATACAGACTGCAGATACCCCAAATAATCATGTTGTTGTGCCACATGAATAAAAAAAAACCCTCAAATGCTGCATCTTTAGCAATAAAAGTACAAGAACAGACTAAATCAACCTTTGCTAGCTTTTCATGACAACCAAAATCTACTACCTAAGGCAGGGGTCTTCAAACTTGGCCCTTTTGTGACTTGTGGACTTCAACTCTGGCTGAGGAATTCTGGAAGTTGAAGTCCTCAAGTCATAAAAGGGCCAGGTTTGAAGACCCCTGACCTAAAGCAACTACTTCTCTCTACTTAGAGGTAAAACCACCTTGAAAAATATAAAAATGTACAGCTACCAACCTGAGAGAAAATCCAAAGCTACATCTGCCAGAATCAATCCTGGAAGCATGAAAATACTTCCATAAAGAACATTCTTACTCTCTCCTCGCCCCTTTCAGAGTTTGCAACCAGAGCAGGATTTGCAGGATTTATGCATATTAGAAAACTTACCTTCAGGGGTATCCAAAGTGGCATCAGTGATCCTCCAAAAAATGTGAACTTTCCTGTCTTTGATTCTGTAACACTTTTTTTTTTAAATATTTCCAGCCTCTTGATGTCGCCCTTGCTTTAAACGGTGGATGCTATGGGCTGTCAAAAAAATACATGCATTGGCAAGAAGAACTGATTATTGGTGGCACTGTTAAAAATGGTACTGGGGGGAAACTTGTCAGGTAAGCACTCGTAATCCAGTAATTCCTGCCTGGGACATCCTGGTTTGGGTCTACACACCTCTAGGGTGCACTATGGTTTGGATGGTCTTGGCTTAAACTCTTGTGACAACCTAGCTCCGTGGTGGCGAACCTATGGCACGGGTGCCACAGATGGCACGCAGAGCCCTCTATGTGGGCACGCATGTCGGCGCCCCAGTCCTAGGCCTTCAGCTGGGTTTTATAAAACCTTTTCGCTTTAGTCCCACCGCCGGGTGGAAAAAAAAAAGGTTCAATCAATCAATCAATTTCAGCTTCTCGTGGGGAAAAAAAAGATCTTGCAAAGTTGGAATTGATTGATTGAACTTTTTAGTCCCACCCAGTCTGCCGTTACCACCGTAGCTACACCCAGCCATTTGGCCACACCCAGCCAATGGGCCACACCCAGCCAATGGGCCACGCCCACCCGGCACCTGACGATACTTAAGTGGGTTTTGGGTTGCAGTTTGGGCACTCGGTCTCTAAAAGGTTCGCCATCACTGACCTAGCTATTTTGTTACATATGTCATGGCCTATAGCCAACTGTTCTTAGTCAACAGATCTTGCTTTAAACAAACCATGGCTTAATGTGAAGTGTTAATCCAACTGTTGTTTTCTTTTGAGTGAAAAATTTAGTGTCGGTAATGTGAGAATTCTTTTTTCTTCCATTCAATCATATCCAGTTCTTGGAGATTGCCTGGACAAATCCCTATGGTTTTCTTGGCAAGCTTTTTCAGACATAGTTTGCCATTGCCTCCTTTTCCTGACTGGCCAAAGGTCACCTAGCTGGCTTTGTGCCCAAGGCAGGATTAGAACTCACCGTTTCCTAGTTTTTAGCCTGACGCCTTAGTTAGATAACATGAATTTTATTGTCATTTTTCTGTATACACAATGGCACACATTACAGTGAAATTCCAATGCCCGTTCTCGAAAGGAAAAAAAAAACGCCACTCATCAAACAATGTTACCATCCCAAGGATAACAATAATAACACACCAAACTGACTCTCAGTGAGAGTACCACTATTTATTATACCTATAAAATGCATTTTTGTTTATGAGATAGTGGGGATAATGCTTAGTAAAAATATTAAAATTGAAGTCCTCCTTAGTACATATAATGCAAAAGGAAAAAAAACCATGCAGCATATGATTTAAATTAGAGAGCAACAGTTTTCAGCAAAGTGTACCTCCCATTTGAGCTCTAGTAATTTTACTCTTTTTCCACTTGTATGTTAAGAGGTCATGATACCTATGTAGAAGTCATGATACCTGTGTAGCCCACGGTTATCTTTTTGGTGACTAATGATTATATGATCCATTGGAGATTTTGGTCTCTGGAATAGGATGGAGGTGACTTCTCCCCCGTGTCACATCACATGCTATTACATAGGATCACCCATCCCCCCACTTTCTGGACGGAAGATGAGAATCCTGTTCAGTGATAGAAACTTCTGTTAGAGCCTACTGCATATGGAAGGATCCCATTTGCTGCAACTGTGTTAATTTGTGTACTTTTTATGCTTCTTGAAAAAAAAACTTCACTTTTAAGACTTCCATTTTCTTCAGATTGTTTGCCATCCAAACCATCTCCTTGACAGGCGCGACTCCTCTATAGGTCCTGCTACTTTGTGAATGGTGCCTTATTTAAATTATACAGAGAGATTAGGCATAAGAAGACTGAATCAGATCAGCCCTTTAATAGAGAAACCGGACGGTAGCTCATAGGCTTTTTATATTCCAATGTCTCTGCATCCGCTTTACATCTATGATAGGATCAGTTTTTTATATCAAGATATAAGAAGATAAAGAGGTTTTTATAACAGGAATGTCTGACCGTGACAACTTTAAGACCGGTGGACTTCAACTCCCAGAATTCCCCAGCCAGCAATGCTGGCTGGGGAATTCTGGGAGTTAAAGTCCACAAGTCTTAAAGTTGCCAAGCTTGGACACCCCCAGTTTATAACTTAGATTTCCCCCTCCATTTTAAACAACACCAAAAATGATTCCTAGTCAAATAAAATGTGTAGAGCAATTATAAAAAAATATATTGAAGAAATGGCTTTCTGCTGCCCAGTTTCTGGCTTTCTGCTGCCCATTAGAACAGTCCTCCAAACCCAGCAAAGATCACTCCCATCCCATAAGCAAAGATTGTGCATTTGGTGACATCGTGCAGTGAAACCAGGTTTTGTTTTTTTTTTCTGTTTGGAGGGGGAGACTCTGGTCGCCCCTTTCTCCTTCTAAGTCCCCCATTCTTTCTTACAGTGCTCAGGCTTTACAGACCATGTTTCAGCTAATGACTCCAAAGCAAATGTATGAACACTTCAAGGGTTACGACTACGTTTCGCACATCAACTGGAATGAGGACAAGGCGGCTGCGATCCTGGAAGCATGGCAGAGGATGTATGTTGAGGTAAAATGGACGTTTGCTTGGAGAATGGTTTCTTTCTAACTTTCACTGTAAACCCTACTAGCTCTTGTCATTGCAATCCTTCAGGGATCTTCCTTGAGATAGGAGATAGCTAGAAAATGGAGGATACTGTGTTGGGATTCAACCCCTGTCATTCCCAGCCGGTATGCTGGCTAGAAAGAGGAAAGAGGCATGCTTAGGTCTAGCTGAGTAAGAACTTTTTTTTTTTAAAGAAGAAACAAATACATGAAAAAAACCTGCCACCCGCAGCAAGATTTGAGTGAAACATTGCTGGTTCTTCTGTTGTTAAAATGAAAGAAATGTGTTTTTGTTAGAATGCATGGCTTTTAAAATTCATTGTCTTGAGCTGCTTTGGGCTGCCAAGGCTTAAGGAGAAAAAGTGAGCATTTGGTTAGGATGATTCTTACACACACACACACACACACACACACACACACACACACACACACGCTCCCAGCAAAGGTGTCTGGAAAACATTAGCCCGCCACAGAATCTGTTCACAGCTGCAGTCCCCTTGGTGAGGTCATGTGACATTATCTGGCCTTTGTTTCCCAGGCATTGACCTCTGCTGAGCTGCTTGTGACCTCTTTGAAGTGTCCAGCCAATGAAAAAAGAGAGGGCTACTCTTAAGAATTTGTTGTTTTTAGATTGGGTATAACAACAAATCAGTTGTAGACTTCTGGATGGAATGCAGAAAAGGGTGCAGGAGGGGCCGGGTGAGCTATGAGCCTTCTTCAGTTTCACTATTTTAAATAAATTGCCATTTCCCTCTCTTTCAAGGTGTACAGTTCCTATTTGATCTGTAGCAGCCTGCTGTGGCTCTGCATTGGGTATGGCAATTATATTGACAAAGGGTCAAGGATGCAACGGTAGTGTTAGTAGAGGAGAAGAACGCCTGTGGGTGAGTGAGAAGAGAGAGCAACAGATAAAGTGAGGGCAACAACTAAAAAGTTAGTGTCAATAGAAGTCTGCTTCAGAAATACAGGGGGTCCTCGAGTTACAACCACAATTGAGCCCAAAATTTATGTTGCCCAGTGAGACATTTGTTAAGTGAGTTTTGCCCCATTTTGCGACTTTTCTTGCCACATTGGCTAAGTGAATCATTGCATTTGCTAAGTTAGTAACATGGTTGTTAAGTGAATCTGGATTCCCCATTGACTTTGCTTGCCAGAAGGTCGCAAAAACTAATCACGTGACCCCGGGGACACCGCAACCGTCATAAATATGAACAGTTGCCAAGCATCTGAACTTTGATCATGTGACCGTGGGGATGCTACAGTCGTGCGAAAAACAGTTATAAGTCATTTTTTTCAGTGCCGTCGTAACTTTGAATGGTCACTAAATGAACTGTTGTAAGCCGAGGACTACCTGTATATCATAGTGACTTCCTTTCTGTAATTACAGCTCCCATCTTCTTTTCATAGGTTGCTCATCAAAGTCTTGCACAAAACTCTACTCAGAAGGTGCTTTCCTTTACAACGACGACGCTGGAGGACATCCTAAAGTCATTTTCTGACGTCAGCGTCATCAGAGTTGCTAGTGGCTATCTATTAATGGTAAAATAGATTTAATGTTAATTTTATTCTTCCTTAGTCTTCTTCAAGCTCATGCCATCCAGATACGGAAAGGACCAGGCTGGAGAAATCTGTAATTCATGATGTACCACTACATGAGGTTTTTTTATGCTAAGCTGTCATACAAATCATCCTTACAATGTTTTTAACAGCCTTAAAATCTGCATTTTTATGCCACTTGCTCACGTATGTCTCCGATCCATGGAAGATCTGTGGCTCATTAGCGTGAGCACAAAGTTGGCTTGGGATGGGGCCACGGGGTTGTTCTTTGTGGTTTCCTCTTAAATGGTTACAGAGCTGAAGAGATGTCTGCATGAGATGTGTGGAGGTGGGATTCAGACCTAATGACAGGATCAGACAAGCAAAGCCATTGCTCTATCTCACAGCCGAGCGGTGCCTTCCAATATCTGTGTTCCATTAAAAGCGTATTTTGTTGTTGAAAGTTTTGGTCAGGAAAAGGAAACATAAAACTGGCTTTCTCTGATGTCAGGCCTGGTTTGGGAAGAAAAAAAAAACACGCTCTTTTGTTCTGCTTACAGCTTGCCTACGCCTGCTTAACCATGCTGAGGTGGGACTGTGCTAAATCCCAGGGTGCTGTGGGTCTGGCAGGAGTCTTGTTGGTTGCTCTCTCAGTAGCCGCCGGATTGGGACTGTGTTCCTTGATTGGGATTTCCTTTAACGCTGCCACAACTCAGGTATTAAACAAACAGTTTGCAAGACGATGTGCTGCAATGTCTCCTACTGAGGGTGGTGCATGCACGGGGAGGACGGACTTTAAGAGGACAACCCTCAGAGGTTTGAATTAATATGTTTACCCAGTGCTTTTTTTCTAAAAAAAAAAAGGTGCCGGTACTCACACATGTCATACAACCCGCCTTGCCTACCCTACAAGGTTCCATCCAAAAAAGATGCCGGAACTCCGTTCTGGGTGTTCTATGAGAAAAAAAAGCCCTGTGTTTACCTAAAACTAGTCATAGCTGTGGTTATTTAAGCCCAGAAGACTTCTGAACAGGGCCTACGGTTTTATGGGATGTATATTTACATGTCACACACACACAACAAAATTGCAGGTTTTGGCACGTCATGTCAGAGGAAATGAGGGACAAAAAGGGCTTTATAATTTGCACTGAAATTTTTGAAAGGAACTCGTTGTTGTTAACCGCAGAGTACAGAGAGAAAGGCTGAATATTCGAGACTTGTGCTGAAAATGTCAATGACCCGGGAAATTGAAATTGTCCTTGAATAAACCCTGTTTCCAAAGGCAGGGTGTGCAGACATACGTGCTGTGAAAATGCATACTGTGATACAATTGGCTAAAATCTTCTCTCTAGGAAATTATTATACTGTGTGGATAATCGACAGTTAGAGTCATAGTGTAAGACTAAGGAAGTTTAATAATTAAAGTCCTAACCAAAGACCTACGAATTATTAAGATAATGTTTAAGAATATAGGTAGCATTAAGCAGGGTGGATGGAGGGTTTAAAAAAAAAACCAGGGTATTCGGGACTGACAAATTGAATATTTCCAGATATTGAGAAAGTGCTTTAGATATAGCCCCAAGGGCTCCAATCACAACGGATTTCTTTTTCCATAAGGTTCAGCTGCAATCTGCAAGTCCTGGTATTTTGAATTTTTTCCCAATTGTTTTTCCTCAATCCTAGCATCGTCTGGAATCGCAACATCAATGAACCAGATTTTCTTCTTTTCAATAACTCCTATTACATCAGGCATATTATGAACAAGATGCCTGTCTGTTTGGATCTTAAAACTTCAATAATATCTTAATCCTGCACTTTTTCCAAAAGCTTCTCGATGTGAGGGTCCCAGTATTTTTTACTACATTCAAATCCAAACCTCTGGCAAAGTTTCCAGGAATAATTCTGGCAAGTTGGGCATAACACTGCTTGTAGTCAGTTTGTGAAATTTTGCGGCAGCCATTGATCAAATGGTCAATTGTTTCATCCTTTTAAATACAAAGGGGACATTTGCTGTTATTTGGTACATGTTGAATTTTTCCCTTTATGCAATTAGATGGCAAAACTTGTTCTTGAGCTGCTAAAATAAAGCTCTCAATTTCTGAAGACAGCAAGCTGAAACAAGGAAAAAAGAGATCCTGCAATACATATCCTCTAATATTAGTTGCTCAAAGCAAGTGGCTCATTTAAAATAGATTGTAAAAATAGCCTTTGGTTCTCATGAATCCACATGAAGACCTGTTAATTTCTACTGGGCCTGACAATATGATGGAGATCAGTAATTGAAGAGAAACACCCAATGGTGCAAATAATTATGTGCATAAAAAATTGTGCCCTCCTAACTACAATGCCTCAAGATTTCTGCTTATGCCTAAAGTGAAATGTAAGATTGCACTTCTTTGTCCTACTTCATTAACTTGTTCTTTGGTTGGTTATAAAATAATTGTTGCTGTCTCGTTTTATGCAGGTTTTACCCTTTCTTGCTCTTGGAGTTGGGGTAGATGATGTCTTTCTTTTGGCACATGCATTTAGTGAAACTGGGCAGAATAAGAGAATTCCATTTGAGGTAAATTCAGATATTTCTTACATTACATATGCTGACTTGGTAAACCACTTAGAGAGGGCTGTAAAGCACTGTTAAGCAGTATATAAGTCTAAGTGCAATTGTTATTTACTATTCAGCAAGCTCATTAAACATATACTTTAGTTTTTCAATTAGCAGCTGACAACCTTAATCATTTCTTAGGTTGCCCCAGTTTATTTATCTTAGAACTATGCGGAGTAAACTAATAGCAGTATAAATGACCAAAGACTGTCAAATGGTTTCCCCAATTTTCTCAAACTTTTTGACAAAAGTGAGTAACTCTGTTGGCATTATCAGCAGAGATGTACATATGATTACCCCTCCAGAAGAATCTGGAAATATTATGATTAATATGTTATTTTAGAGGAATGAAATGCTGATTATGGATTATATTTGTTGTCAGTTTGTGATTATTTGTCAAAATAGATGTTATTCTTCAAAAAAGTTGTTTGGATAAATTGAATTGAAATTTCAATTACTCTCCCAAATTTTTTGAGAATTGATATTCTATTTTGCATTCTGATATCAGGCTATTTCTGCTACAGTCCACTTTAGAAATTAAAAAATGTTGTTTGTATTAACTTTCCATTGTAGTTTTCCATTTCTGTTGTACAGTAGAATCAGATGCAATAGTATCTATATATAATACTATTAAGATTCTCATTTCCATAACCTTTAACTTGGCAAAACAGTGTGACTTTGGGGCCAGCCACACTCTCTCAGCCCAACCCACCTCACACAATTGTTGTCAGGAAAATAGGAAGAGGAAGAAGTATTATGTATGTTCCTTGCCTTGAGTTATTTATAAAGTAATAAGGGTGGGATAAAAATTTAATAATAAAATTTTAAACCAAGGTAACTCAAATGGACCAACTTACAGAATGTGTCCAAAATCTGAGACCCATGGCTCTGTGGAATTGAAATTTGGCAAATTTTATAAAACAGTTTATGACATAAAAATTATATGACTTCCGCCCATCAACTCCCTCCCCCTCCCATAGGATGCCCCCCTGCTAATCATTAAAAATGGCTAGTTCTCTTTTGTCAAACTTCTGGGACATAAGAGTTTAAAAGATTGCTGCCAAATGGCTAATTTTGGCCTTAATGTGTGATGTTCTTATGATTATTTTTGCTATATTTGTTTTTATTTGCTTTGAACCACCTAGCAACTTTGATTACAGCAGCCTGTAAATAAATATCTATTTCTCTATTACACTGTAACTTTATATAGGTTATGCGCTGTGTAATTAGTAATTAATTCCACATATTCGTCTATATGTTTCAGGATAGAACAGGGGAATGTCTGAAACGCACGGGTGCAAGTGTGGCCCTTACATCTATTAGCAACGTTACTGCATTTTTCATGGCTGCCTTAATTCCCATTCCAGCTCTCCGGGCATTTTCACTCCAAGTAAGTTCATAAAGTAAAATTAAATGACTTTTAATTTATTATTTCTCAACACAGTCCAGAGATGAAGCACTTCTCATTCAACACAACTGGGGAGGACTGGTGGAGAAAGATGGCCAAGGGCATAGTGTTTGGATTGGGTGAGGGGCACAAATTCCCAATTAAAGAATGATTCTGCAGGGAGCAAACTGATATATTGACAAGGGGGTCTGAACTGACCTTCCTGTCAGAAGCATATAAGTAAGAGCAGTTTCCTCTAGTCTAACTGGAGACAATAATGACTCTAGTACACATTTTGAGAGGGCATCAGCTTGGGAAGAGCAATTATAGAGCACGCTTAATTTTAAATGTGTTTCTTTTCATGAGTATGGTTGACTTGAAACTGCAGTTATCTTCTTATGTAATTTTTGAGTCTATGTTTTAAAATGTGAAAGATTTACTAGTTCTCAAAAAACCTGATACACAGAGTAGAAACTGAGTTGAATGTGAGTATGTCAGCAACCTTTTGGAAATGTACTTTAAAAGTTCCGAAAACAGCACCTACTCCATAGCAAGTACATTAAAAAATTTTAGAGGAGAAGAAATATACTTTTTTAAGATGAACAATGGATTTTAAAGACGAGCCTATGAACAGTGCAGTAGCTTTGTGGCTGCGAGTTCCTAGCCACAATATTTGGAATTCTGTGCTGGGCTAAAAAAGGAAAATAGCATTCATTTGCTGGAATGAAGCTAGAACTTATAGAATTATTGTTAAAATGCAAAGACCAGGCAAAGTAGGACAAAAAAGACACTATATTTTGATAGATTCTCTAAATGTATTACTATTGTATATGTAGCCTGCATGACAAATTCAGATGCACAATCCACATCTCTATGCTGAAAGGTTTTTGTACATCATGTATGTTCTTATATTGAAATTAGTCTGATCTTTTCCCCCCTCTGTTTATTGAAGAGGTTTGGTTTTATTAAAATAAAGAACTCGATGGCAGAGTTCCATAGACATAGATTAATAGAAAGTGGAGGTTTCTTTCTCCCCAGCATCTTCTAATTAATTCATTGGAATCTCCAAGAAGCTGGGGAAATGCAGAGGCATAATTCTTTCAGGAATCTTTGGATTTTATAGAAATAGCTACAGCATTTATTTGTTTATTTTATTCAATTTCTATAGCCACCCTTCTCAATCAGTGACTCTTGGCGTCCAGCCAGAAATTTATGCAAGATGGTTTATTTCTGTATGCTGAGTTGTGCTAAATCTCAGGTTTTCTATATCTCTATATCAACTGCAAAATGGAATGTTTAATCTGAGTTCTCAATCAAATCTCAGCCTGTGTTCATAAAGATAGAAATTCTCTTTAGAATTTCTTGTGGTCTCTAATAATAATTTGAAAACTCTCTACTATCTTCTCAGAAATTTTGGTAGAGAATATCACACTTGTGGCAGATTGCCATCAGTGGTCTATAAAAAAACTTTATATTTTCTTTTTAAATCCTTCTCCCTTTTCTTCTGCTTTTCCTGATCGATAAACCACTGTGTGACCAGTTCCCTTCACATTGAATGTTTGCATTTTAAAATTTAAAAAAAGAGGGTTTTTTTTAAACATTTTGTATTTTCTTTTTTAAAATAAAATTTTATTTTGTTTACCTGGTGAGATTGCTCTGTCTCCCAAAGGATGGAAAGTAGGACCAGATCCTCTAGTCACCAAGCCACTATATTATGCATGGCCAGAAGGTGGCAGAATAGAGGTTATTTTTGTATTTTGAGAGTTTAATCATCAGCAGAGCAACACAGGATATGAGAGGATTAGGGGGAGGCATCAGATGAGGGCACCTGAAAAGATAAGTAATGGCAACAACAAATGCTAAGTTAATACCTCAATTCAGGCCAGGGAACAATGTGTGAAGATCCAGAGGATTTCTGGGAGAGGAGTTTCAACTCTGAAGGCCTCAGCAATATTTTACAATTAAAAAAAAATGAATAACATTACTTACATATTAAAGACATGAAGAATATGTGTAAATATGTTTCAATATTTTTATTTATGTCAAAGTTTCCCACTTAAATATTTGAAAGGGTAGAAAATGATTGAGCTTTATGTGTAATAAACCCCATTTCTTCCCTTTGATCTAGTAGATAGGATACAAATCAGTAGTTACAAATCCAAATTCCTCAAATAAGGAAACAAGTTTTTGACCTAACCTTTGAAATGACTTTCTGCTTATTCAAGCTGCCTAACAGAAAATAGACTGCCTCAGAAGGAAATAAGTTTTTCTACAGTATATAGACAGACTCGTTAGGAAACTCTTGGAAATGTGGTAGCAGTGGATTTCCTAAATTGGCAAAGGATCTGTCTAAAGATCTTTGAAAGCCATTTAATTATATGATTTAATCAGCTGAATTAAATGGCCTATTAAACACACATAATGTTTTCCCAGGAGTTTTAGCTGTGGTTTGTTGAACAAACCGTAAAAACTTGGCTCATGTGGACACAAAATTGGAGTAGACAAGCTCACTTCAATGAACCCAAAATAAATAAACCACATAGGTTCTAGTAATGTCTCTATCACTGTCACAAATCATCTAAAGACATTGGTAATACATAGGGAAATGGGGGGTGCATTCTGTTCTTCTGCCATAAATTATAATGTTAAAGTTAGCATATTAAAATATGGTTGTCCATCTGTATGACAATCTTGTGTCAATATCAACCTTTTGTGTTGTCTGACATTCTGTGATCAAATAGAGAAAGGTGGGATCACTTGGCTTTGCTTTTGATAGGTATTCAAACATGTACCTTTGTCTTGAAGTAAACCCCCGTTTCAGAGACGAGGGCCTTTCCTGACAACTGGCTAATGTTTTCACAGTTATCCTCAAAGCTAATTTTGGATTTATTCTTACACTGTCATTTCAAAACATACCCAAGAAGAGATCTATGTAAGTTTGTGTCATCTGTTTGTAGAAAATATATCTTAACACACATGTCAGTTCCAAATCTAGAAACAGAATTTTAGCAGCTATATTTAGAAGGATGGCATTATAGGTAATACCTATTCCTTATTTCAAAATAATAAAGACATTTAAAAAAAACACTATAGAAGCAGCAAGAGAGCAGAATTTAGAGATAGCCTGTACAAATGAATTAACATTTGTCTGCCTATATTCACCCCCACTCAAGTTTCTGGCCTTGTAGGGTTTTAATACTGATTCTACTAACTAGGTCAGGGATAGGCAACCTCGACTCTTTTATGACTCATGGACTTCAACTCCCAGAATTCCTGAATCAGCTATGATTTTTGATGAAGTTCTCCATTAGGCTTTTAATGGAATCTAAGAAATAAATCTATATTTGTGTTACATAGTTTATGTACGAGGATTTATTTATAGATGTCATGTATAGCAATGTCCTTGCTTTTGTTTTCCCTTTTTAAAAAAATCCTACCTTTTTAATATATAAGTCAATGCATTGAATATATCTTATATTCCTTCCTCCTATTTTTCCCACAAGAACCCAGCCTGTAAGGTGGGTTGGGCTGAGAGCGAGTGACTGGCTCTCTTAACCATACTTCATTTTTATCTTTACCTTACTAAAATTCTCCTGCTTATTTGTCCGTCTGTCATCTTCAATTGGGCAAAATGGGGTATCGTAGAGCAACAATGTTTGATTCAGTATACCTCAAACAGGTACAAATCTCAAAATAATGCATCCAAAATCCAGGACCCTGACTCCCATGGGATTGAAATTTGGCAATGTGGCAGCTTCAGGACTGCCACGCTGCCACATTGCCATGGACAGCTGTAGTCACGGGATCATTATTTTCAATCCTAACTTTTAACAGCTTCCCCCAAATAAAATCAATGGGGAAGCCAGCTGGAACTCACTCCCATTCATAGTTTTTTTTTTTTTTTTTTTTTTTAAAAAACCCCATTGTCATTCTGTTTCTCTGTTTAGATAATGAAATGTGTAGAGAGTATGCTGATGACATCCAATTGTACATTTGAGCCCCCAGTGAATTAAGTGATATACTGTGTAAATCTTATCCCAGTGTCTAGAGGCTGTGGGAGTCTGGATGGGGTACAAGAGGCTTCAACTGAAACCTGCCGAGAATGGATAGCTTTGTGTTTTGAAGCCTTTTGGTTCAAGAACTATACAATCTTTGGTATTAGATGGGGTCTTGCAGCCCCAAACAGACCCTGTGTGCAATGTGGGGGTCCTCCTAGACTTATGACTTCTCTAATGAGCAGGTTGCAGGTGTGGCTGGGGTTGTTCTGTGTCAGGTGACAAGGTTGCAGACACTCACATGCAGACACAGTTGCTATCAGTTAAGCAGATAAAGTAGCTAAGATTGTAAATCGGGATCTGTGCAAAGAATGTTTGGCTAAATGAGTCCATTTGAAATTTAAGCAGCAATAGAGTGGTCCAAATTCATTCCAGGAGTTAAAGTGCTGAGCGCTAGTCAGCCACCTCAATAATCAGGGGTTTAAGAGTAAGTAAGCACAGGAACAAAAGTCATAAACTAGGATTCCAAACAGTTGTTTCCAACAAAGACTGAAGGCCAAAGTAGCTATAAAAATCTGTCTGCAGGCAGCTGGCTATAATTACTCAGGTCTGGCTCTTTGCCTAGTGAGAAGTCTCATTGACTAGTATTGCTCTGCTCACCACTGCATGCATTGAAACTTGGAGTTTGCCGGTTGTGCCTCATCATCCGACTGTTCCAGCTGATCAGGAGTTGACTTGTTCACCCTTCTTAGATGAATTATGGCTTAAGATACCCGAGAATGACAATCCACAAACTCAGCTGGAGCAATGTTGTCAGAATCAGAATCTGAACCTTGGCCCATGACAACCTTTGTACAACTTCATATTGTATGCCAGTTGCCCCCTTTCCTAGATTGAGGGGCCCTGCTCACAATAATTCACAACCAGTTGGCTACTGCAGTGAACATTGCATGGGACTGCTGTTGAAGAATATTTGGAAACTTAGGCTGGTGCAAAATGCGGTGGTGA